TCAAAATCAACAAAAAACTATGAACCAGAGACACCTTTTGGGGGGTGGAGGGCGGGAGGGGAAGGATTGGGGTCAGAATGGGGCGTTTGCAATTGTATGGGGGAATATAAAAATAAAATTTATTATTTAAAAAAAAATTACCATGAGATACCATCTTACACCAGTGAGATTGACACATATTAAAAAATCTAGCAACAGCAAATGTTGGCGAGGTTGTGGAGAAAAAGGAACTCTTCTACAGTGTTGGTGGGAGTGCAAACTGGTCCAACCACTATGGAGAGCTGTGTGGAGATTCTGGACCTACTAAACATAGAGCTTCCATATAATCCAGCAATTCCACTCCTAGGGATTTACCCAAAGGACACAGAAACATCAATTCCAAAGAACACCTGCACCCCTATGTTTATAGCAGCACTATTTACAATAGCTAAGCTTTGGAAACAGCCCAAATGCCCAAAAATAGATGACTGGATCAAGAAGATGTGGTACATATACACCATGGAATATTACTCAGCATTCAAAAAAGATGAACACATGCAATTTTCAGCAACATAGATGGCGCTGGAAGGGATCATGCTCAGCAAAATAAGCCAGAAAGAAAAAGAAAAATACCAGATGGTCTCACTCATAGCAGGAATCTAGAAAACCTAAATAAGGGACCAGGAAAATGAATAACTATAAGAAAGTGAAAATCAAAATCAACAAAAAACTATGAACCAGAGACACTTTTTTGGGGGTGGGGGCGGGAGGGGAGGGATTGGGTTCAGAATGGGGGGTTTGCAATTGTATGGGGGAATATAAAAATAAAATTTATTAATTAAAAATTAAAAAAAGAACACAAAAACACTAATTTGAGAAGACATTTCAAGTTATGCACTATATTCTCAGTGGCATTATTCTCAATAGCAAAGAGCTGGAAAAAGTCTAGGTGTTCAACAATGGGTGATTGAATAGAAATGTGGTATATTCAATCAGGCATCACTTAAGGATGTTTTGGTCAATGATGGACCAATATGCTGTACCATCTAACATGAGCAGGTAGGAGTCTGACTGTACCTAGATTTGTATAATTATACTCTATGACTCTGGCAGAATAATAAAATAACCTACACTACAAAAAAAAAAAAGAATCAAGTCAAAGAAGTCATCTTTCACTGTTTTTTATAGAACATTTTAAATGAAATTCTAGAGAGTGTAATATAGTAAGAAAAGAAAAGATGGATTTAAATTTTATTTCTGTTACTTAATGTAATGTTAGAACTGGTTATATTTACTGACATACAATTTTATGTCTAGTGAATTTAATAAGAAATTTGACTTTTTGTATATCTTTTTTAACCATTTCTTACTAAAACTAATAAATATTTTTTATTTTTTCAAAAAAAAAATCTGAATACAACAAATGCTAACAAAGATGTGGGGGGGAAAGTACCCCGCTTATATTGATGGTGGGAATGCAAACTGATCCAACCACTATGGAAAGCTATGTGGAGTTTTCTCAAAACACTAAAAGTGGATCTACAGTATGATCCAGTGATTCCATTCCTAAAAATCTACCTGAAGAAAACAAAAATGCTAAATCAGAGAAAAGGAAAAACCTGCACCACTATGTTTATTGTAGAACTGTTTAAATAGCTAAGATATGGAAACAAACCAAATGCCACCAAATACACAATGGAATATTACTCAGTGATCAATAAAGACAAACATGGCATTATGGCAACGTGGATGGAGCTGGAGGAGATTAGATAAATATTGGATGGTTTCACTTATATGTGAAATACAGATACAAAATGACAAAACTTGCAAACTGACCATAGATCTGAGGTGCACAGAAAAGGAGGAGGAAGAATGGATTTAAAACAGGGGAGGAAAGAGCACAAGGGAATATGCTGATCATTCACAGGTGACATGGAGGGGGGATATCTATGGCAATTACACTTAAGGGGAGAAACCAATTACTGAACAAAAATAAACAATGTAAGAAAATAAATTGTAGAAATAATAATAATAGGAATATCAGAGTGGGAAGAGAATGAGAAAGGAGAAGCTATATTTAAGAAACAGGGGCCTCCCTGGTGGTGCAAGGGGTTAAGATGCAACTTATGAAGCTATCCGCAGCCACTGCAACACGAGTTCCATTCCCGGCCAGGGAGCTATCCACATGGTACAGCAGACCTCTCCTGACTCGCCTGCTGCTCCCCTCAGTAGTGTATTTCAGTCAATCTGAATACACTGTTCTGTTCCTCACTCTGTCTCTGGTGAATCCTCTCACCCCCCACAACTCTGGCTTGTACCCTAGCTCTTGTATGCATAAATAAATCTTTAAAAAAAAGACTTCTCAGAATAGTGAATATAATGATGTGCATTATACCTCTATCTGCACAGGGAGCTCAGCAGGCAATGTGTCTCCAGGTGATTTAACCTTTTTCAGTGGCTTCACATAGAATGAGTCTTCTCTGGAACTTATTTCAGAAAATTCTGCTTCCAGCCATAGCTTCTTATTACAGAGGCACATGTATATTTCTGTGTCTACCCCAGGCTATAAGGACTATTCAGATCCAGCCAATATTTAAGTTTTTGAGTAGAAAAACTGAAGCAAGGGAAGTTGAAAGGTAATATGGCCAGTTGGTTACTGGGAAAAACCCTATATTTTCAGACTTAGATGATTCTATTAATGCTAGTTGTTCCAAATAATCTCTCCCCCGCTCTCTGTGCTTCTGAGTGGTAGTGTTCATCCAGGGCTGGCCTTGTTTCCGTAGTCCAACCTGATCCCATCCTGTCACAGATCAAACTCTTTGGGTGAGAGTTTAGGGAGAGTGCAGCTGGAATCTGCCAAAGGAGGGGCTCCTTTATTGTTTATTGCCCTGTATAAACTCAATCTCCTCCCCATGACCTCATTTCTGAAGGGTTTACCCAGCCCAGAAGTTAGTCTTTACTCACATTTCATAAACAAAATAGGCTCATTTTTTTTTTTTTTAAGATTTATTTATACCAGCACTGGGTACAGTCAGAAGTGCGGGAGGGTGAGAGAATTCACCAGAGCCAGAGGGGAGAGCAGAGCAGGCAGACTGACGAAATACACTGCTAAGGGGAGCAGTCGGTGGCAGGAGAGGTCTATGAGCCATTTGGGACCCTCAGCCGGCCGCCAGGGATCGAACCGGCGCTGCAGAGGCTGTGGGCAGCTTCGCAACCCAGCGCTTAATTGCTGCACCACCGGGGAGGCCCAATGTAGGCTCATTTTTTATTACATGCATTGATATAGAAGAAGAATACTTTTATGATTGTGAGATGTTCCTTTAGAGTTGGCTGATCCTGGCCACTGTAAACAATGGATATGTGTGTGTGTGTGTGTGTGTATTTATTGTAGCACTGTTTAAATAGCTAAGAAATGGAAATAATGCCCCTAAACAGATGAATGGATCAAAAAGTTGTGGAATATACACAATGGAATACTACTCAGTGATCAATAAAGACAAACCACAAAATGCACTGACTTGTATCTTCTTGTATCTTCTTTCCATAATTTCCATTAGACATTTACCTCCCCCTATAGGTTTGGATAGTGAGAATCTCAGTTTTATGCTAAATACATTGGAAACATGACCACCAGGAATTCCATTTAACCTCTCTCCTTTATTTGTTACAATTATGAGTCTAAGAATGGGTTAGTAGAGAGCTTCAGCTAAACAAAAATGATAAGTAGATTTGTGGTAACCTGAGAAAAATGACAGTGATCTCATGTACAGTGGCTATTTTTCTTTGGGGAATAACTGTAAAGATTTATATTTGATGGTACAAAGTCATGTTAATTAAAGTCTAGGGATAAAAAGCTTCCGGGACATTCCCCCTTGAGGTCCTTAATTAACAAAGGGTCTGTGTTATGTCAGTCAGATGTGCCCTGCCTCTGACCAGCAACTTATGGTAATAACATTAAAACTATAATCAATTTATATATTAATGATAAGCTTTTGTGAAACCCAATCTGGAAGAAAAATGAGCCTCTATATTCTCAGCCCGTCAACAAATTCTTCGTTTCAGTTCTGAGAGAAGAAAGAAAAACCTAACACTTCTCACCCAGGTTACAGCACTGCAGACACCTAGGTTTCCAGGTGGCAACAAAGAAAAGAAATGGCAGAATTATGAGGTAGTCAAATTTAAAATTTACTCAAGGAAAAGCTAACAGTTGCTGGAAGTTTTCCTATATTTCTGAAAATACAGTCATATTAATATTTTGATGGTTGTTTTGCATTAATGATGATAATCAAGTGCTATCTAATTTTTTAATTGTCTAATGGGTATTAATTCTGATGACCACACAGGAAAAATAGTGAAGTATACTTAGTAAACAGAGCATGATTGTATGAGTGGATACCCATGCTTTTCAGATTATATGTAAAGACTTTTATTTAGTGGTTTAAAAATGGTAGGTTTGATTTTAATTTTTTATCTCCAGAAAATTTTATCTTCATAAGCTAGATAATAGAGAGTGTTAGGGATATCCTGGGTAACAAAAGTCTTATATAAATGATGGTTGTTACAGCCATGAGTTCCAGAATCCAATAACACTGAGTTAAAGATTCAGCCTCATCACCTACATACTCTGCAACATAGGGCAAAGAGCAAACCTTCTACAATTTGACTTCGACATTTGATACTGGTCTATCAAGATTACCCATCTGTCGGTGTTGTCATTGAGACTCAATGTGTCTGAAGAACTGAGCACACTGCTTAGCAAAATGAGGTAATAAAGGATCATTATTTTTTCTCTAGTCAATGAAATATGTATTGAAACAATGGAATCTATATAACTTCCTTCTAGTTTTTCCCCAAGATGTTTATTTTGACTGGTTTGCAGTTATGTGAAAACATTAAAAATATAACTTATTTAAATCTATCAAACAAATAAACATCAAAACAGAAATCAAAAGATAATCCAAAATGTTTTTAAAAATTTATTTATAAAAACATATATATGTGTGAATCACCACACCATCCAGTGCAATAGTTCTTTTCTTACACAAAGTGTTTGGCAAGTCATGCTGAATCCTAAGTCACTATGGGTGAGATAGGCTTGATTTGATTTTTCTTTCTGTCCCTGCCAACATGAGGAGAGAAGAAAGACAGGCATGCCCCCTGTCAGCAAGTTGTTTTGGACATCAAGGAATGCCATGTAGTGATGTTTATTGATACCTCCTGTGTATCAGAGTTATCAGGATTGCTTTGAAGTTGAGCACAGGCAAAGCTAAGGAGGTAAGAACTGGACCCAGCCAAAACAGTGTATGGAATTTCCATTCATTCTCCATTCTTCTGGGTCCCTGAAGGAGAGGACACAGTAGATGGAGATGTCTCATGAGGGTCTCAGGACACCTTCACAAATAGCATTTCATAAACAAGTTAATCAAAAGTTTCCAGAACATGTCCATTGTTCATTCCAAGACAATACAATAGGGCTGTACTTCCTCCAAATCTGACTTTTTGACCTGGCATTCTCAAGAAAATAGATAAATGCCTAAAAGAAAGCACTGAGAAAATGGAAAGATTCAATTCAGGAAATGGGATTAAATATGCAGATATATTATTTGCAACCACGTATGTATTGTATGACATTGAAGCACTGTGGTTCCCTGAAGATTTTTTAATCATAAGATCTTAAGACTTAACTGAGGCTTGGTTAATATCCCAGGTCCCATGCCAGCAGATTTAGGTTGTGGTTCAAAACTCTTCATTTTTACAGGACTCTTCTTTGATTCTGATGATCAGGTAAGTTTAGGAAATGCTGGTTAGGTTGAATGTGGGCTCTAAAATCAAAATGCCAGGGTTACTGTATGGTCCTCTGCTCTTTAGAAAATTACCCTGTCCCTATGAGTTCTAATTTTCTTATTGTTAAAATTGGTGTAAAATTACTAATTTACATAAATTAACTTTTATAGCAGGGATTGTTAGAAAATTCAACTATATAGCAATGCATGCAAATGCTACCATTTACTGAGATCAAGAACAATCATTACTATTATTATTATTGTTACTATTTTTATTGCTACCATTGTTGCTAAGATGATGAGTTGTACTAGATGCCTTTGAATAATGCCAAAATGCATTTAAATTCATCAATCTAATTTCCATCATTCCATTTTTTAAACTAAATATTCCCAAGATGTCTTTGTCTCAATGCAAATTGATTAAAATATTTAGAATGGCCAAAGGTAAACTCAAATATCAAGTCTTACATGAAATGAGTAGAAATAAATTGATCAGCAGAAACACTGTGTCCCCTGTATACATATATTGTATTATGCATTTCTGAGTGAAAGAGTGTATTTCTAAGTTGGTTATGATTGCTTGATTAAAGGCAATCTCAGAAAAAATCATAGTCAGGCTCCTTGTTTGACTCTTAACCTATACTAGACCTTGGAAGAAAGGGAAGAATAATAAGGCAGAAGTGAAACTATGTGAAGAGCCAATTTCTAGATGAGAAGAAAAGATGATACAGGGATTAAAAATGATGGCAGAAAGTTAAGTGGGTAAAGGAATATGTAGGAAATAAGACTGCAATATAAGAAAACTACAAATAAAAGTGTGTTATGTGCACTCATATTAATGGGGGTGAATAGCTCCTTATATCTAGCGCAACTTAGCAGGACTCAGAAGACCCCAAGTTCCCCATTTGTCTGACTTTAATGCTTTACATTCTGGTATTAAAACCTTTCTTTTTTTGAAGACTTTTTCTGCTGATAAAAATGTGATATCCCCACAACTCCACATTTAAGCATCAGATTTAGTAGTAGAGTGATATATTTACTAGGTCAATTATTGGAGTTACATCGAAAGTATCAGAAAATTTTAAAGTGTTGGGCATCTGAGATGGGCCAGGGAAACCACCTGAAGATATGACCAAAATTTTGTATTTTTCTCATGGTTCATATGTGTGCATGTCATCATCAGTGAACTTAGATTGTTTCCTTTCCCCTGGGATCCCTCAAATCATTCTGTATGGTACAAATAGCGAAAGTGGCACAGCTACTTCCATGGACTACAATAGTTCTAAGAGCCAGATATCAACTAAATGTATTTGTTTGAATGTTGTATGAGCCATTGTTAGTATGACTCTGTGATAAGCCAAGTAGCTTCCTGTCTAAGGTAACAACCTTACAGAGGGCACTATAAATGCTCATCAGCAGCTTAACATATCATGAGGGTACCTGACACTTACAGTTAGAAAATAACCAGCAATCAGAAAAAAATGCATTGAATATCTGCAATGTTTCAGAATTTGGCTTAAGTTTGACTTCAGAAAATCATTATTAAAGTCATCAGCCTTCTTCACTGTCCACTGTATTTCCTGACTAGAATGATCACATAGGGATGATCAGTTGTCTTTCCATTTACTAATAATAAACCACTTCTAACTTTACATCTTACTTCCTCCCACTTTTCTGAAGGAAATTTGAGTCCTAACCACAAATACTTCCCATAATACTATTTTCTGGTGCTTGTTTGCTTCACTTCTCAAAATGTTCCTGACAGTTGGAATGCCTCTCTCAAGCTGGAAAGCTATTAATCATCCTTTAATATGCAGCTAAAATATCACCCCCACCCCCAAAACTTCCATTATTTACTTGCAGCTTTTGAACCATTTTTTTTTTTAAAAAAAAAAAACTTCTCATTTTACTATAATGGTAAAGCATCTGTTCCCCTAAAGTTTAAGGCCAGAAGTGAAATCCTATTCATCCATAAATTCTTATAGTCTAGAATAAAGTTTCTCCAGGAGATATTGAATTCAACAGACATGTGTATAGTGAAAAAATGACTGAATGAGCCATGGAGAAACATGAGGAATTAATTTCCAAATCTGTTAATATATAAATCTTGAATTTACCTATTTCATAAATATTAGTTAAGCCCAACAAGTGACCACATAGTCATATGAGGATGTGTCCTGTGAAAAAAAGACAAAAATGATGGGAAAAGTAAGATTTTTTTTTTATTTTTCTGGAAATAACTTACACTAAAGCACTCATGTAGCTGAAAGACACATAGATTTTGAGTCTTACTGACTTTCCCTGTGAGCTATCACTTACTGCATAACACTGCATCAAATTGGCCAAGTACTACATTAATGTTACTCTACGATGCCTGATTATAAGAATTAAAAACAATTTAATTGTTCTGGAGAAATATGTATTTTTAACATTCCATAAGCATCCCATCTATGTTTTATCAAGCAACTTTAAGTAACTACTGAACGTTTGATTTCATGAATTCCATAAAACTGAGAATTAAATTTTGTATTCCTAACCTCTCAGAAGCTACAAATCAGAAAAAAAAAATGTGGACAAAATTCACCTTTTCACACAATTGTTTATTACCTACCTCTTCAAGATACAAGGCAAGATAATTCTGAGAGTTCAAAGTATTTAAGAAAAAATATTACCTGTGGGAACAATAACCATCTACAGGGGTAAGAAATAGGAAATTTCTCTAGAAGTCACTGGGTATAAAGTAGATTATAACGTATACCTTAATGTACATGAAAGAAGACAGGAAAGGTGAAAGTCAATGGGGCAACCATGGAGGAACATTGAGCTGGAAATTTTGAAATAAGTAATATGCTTTAACAATTAAAGTAAAACTGGACTGCTCTTTTATTCACTGTTCCTTTCAAAAATTTTTATGTGTGGTTTATATTTCATTTGTTTTTATTTTACTTTTTCACTGTTATTTAAACCATGCCTCAAACCAATGGATTATTCACAACTCACCTCATCCACCTACCCACTCACGTTTGTTATAAATTATTATACTTAACATAGTTTTACAGATATGTGTGAATCTGCGAGAAACATAGCAGAGTCTCTGTGACTCTTCATATCTATATTTACTTATGCAGTTGCAAATGTAAATACATTGTACATCCAAATACAGCTCTGTGAGTAGTAAGAGACCTGAAGGCACTGGTTCGGCCACTATTTTAAGAAATCTTCCAATTATACTGAATATAGGCATTTGACACTGCTGACCAGACAATGTTCTAAAATCTCTACACTTATTATTTTAATCTTCACTTACCCCTGTGCAGTGAATATGGCTTAGTCCTATTATATAAAGGAAGGAAGAGAGGTTCAGTAGGATGATCCATTAGACCAAGGTCATCAGACTAGTAAATGTGGTCATTTGATAAAGGGATTTTCAAAGCCTGGTAATAATCCTCTAGAGGCTATGTTTTTAACTAATCCACAATGCTGTCTGTTTTTACAGTTTATAAGCATAAACAAACCTTTGCTAAACAGAATACCTTCTACCTTAAAATAAGTTACCTCTTGCAAGCTGAATCCTAACAATTTTCTCCAACATGGTCTTCTGTCCTTTTTTTGTGCAGCATCAGCAAGCACCCTAATTACTTTAATGGAAGATTCAGACTTCATGCATAATAAGGGCATTTGTGTGAAACTGACAAGAATATTTGTGAGGTCCCTCCTTATGTATGGGTGGTATGATTAGTTATTCTACTGCTGTTCAGCTGACTTAAGATACTTGAGTTGGGATCAGAGTAAGGATGACTTGTGGACAAATGAGAAAATACTCTCTAGGAAAAAAAGTGTTAGCAAAAAGGAGAGGACAGACCACACTAAGTTTTGAATATGATTTTATATTCTCAGGTAATCAAGGCCTTCAAATCCCATCTTCAAGACAATCTTCATTTTCCAAAAAGCCTTATAATACTGAGTGAATCTGTTGCTTTCCAACATCTAAAGTGATTTTAACTCTTGTTGAAGTATAATAGTTTGTTGACTAAAAGCAGATGCTTAAACTAATTCTTTAAGAAATACACATGATAAATTGACATAGAATTTACTGTCTTTTTGTTGACAGAATATTAAAATGTGCTTGTATTTTTATGCAGTTAATATCAGAGGTTACAGTTTATAATAGTATATAAAGATTGTAAATAGTATTTTATGAAGAAACACATGGGAAATAATGAAAATTTTGTATACTTTGAAGCTATCCATAATTATGGAGAAGTAGCAACAAGGAAAGAAATCATATAAATATATTCAGAAGAGTTCTGGGAGTAGGGGTGGCAGAAGATGTGATATGAATTCATCACTAGATGGAGCAATGTTCTTACCATTTTTTTCTGAACAATGATATTCAGTCATGGAGGGAAACAATAAGACTGCTACCATGGATTTTATTCTCCTGGGTCTTTGGCCTGAGCTCAGTCACCTTGTGTTTCTTATCTGCCTCATTATTCTGGTCTACTTTATAGCTGTCCTGGGCAATGGTATTCTCATTCTCCTTATATGGTTGGATACCCGACTACATTCTCCCATGTACTTTCTACTCAGTCAGCTCTCCCTCATTGACTTGGCCTTGATCTCAACTACTGTTCCCAAAATGGTTGTGAACTTCTTCTCAGGGAAAAGAACCATATCACAAGTTGGCTGTGGAACCCAGATCTTCTTCAGCTTAACCCTGGGGATTGCTGAATGCCTTCTGCTTACACTCATGTCCTATGACCGATACATTGCCATCTGTAACCCATTGCGTTATTTAGTCATCATGAGCCATAACACCTGTAAAAAGATGGTCATTGTATCATGGGCGGGAGGGGCGATAACTTCCCTGGGTCACACAGCTTATGCCATGCACTTCCCCATCTGTCATCCCCGAGAGATCCCACACTTTTTGTGTGAGGTCATGGCCCTTCTAAAACTCACCTGTGATGACATTTCAACCTATGTGAAATCAGTGGTGGTCTCAAGTTTTCTGGTGGTCCTCATTCCCCTGGGTCTTATCATAACCTCCTACACCTTCATCTTCTTTGCTGTCATCCACATGAACTCACCTGAAGGCAAGAACAAGGCTCTGGCCACCTGCTCCTCCCACCTCTGTGTGGTCGGTCTCTACTTTGGCCCTGCCATATTGGTCTACATGAGACCTGAATCTTCTAAGACACCCAAATTAAACCAGTCTCTCTTTATGTTTAATGCAATCCTTACCCCTATGCTTAACCCCCTTATCTATAGCTTGAGAAACAAGGATGTAATAGCAGCTGTGAAGAGTATGATCATCAGTAGATGTTCCCTGCAAAAGATTAAAAGTCACCTGGGTTACTATAGCTGATTATAAGCTCATGTTAGCATATTTATTTGAATTGCTCAAGGAGACATAATACTTAACAAATTCTTTCATAAGAATTATAGAAATGTTAGAAGTCATTTGTTATTAAGACCTATAAATGCTACAAGTCAATGTTATTTATGTGTGGAAATAAAAGTAGCATATAAAAAATCACTCCATGGCCTTAAAGGACCATCAAAAAAGTCATTTTCTCTCATCAAAAGTCTTGAAGCACCCTGCTTTTTAAAATAACATTGATTTGTTGCTCACATACACCAAAGTCACCAATGTACTCATTTTCCCAAACATACCTGTGAAGAATGTATGGTCTGTTACTCAGAACAATGAGAGAATCACAATTCAGGGTTGTCAGAAAAAGCATAACTTTTTATTGACATGGCATTAAGATTGTCTGAATCTACCTTGAATTACCAAAAGCAGATTTTAACTGAGTTGCACACTGGGAACTCAATAGTCAGCATTTCTTATAAGGAACAATAGGTACACCTGAATCTTTTCACTTGCATCCAGCAAACTTTCCTTTTACTTTGCCCTCGTTCTTCTGAATTCATAATCAATATCCAATGCAAACAGCGACAGAACCTCTTCCTGACAACCTGAAAAATGGTAATAAAATAGAGGTACCTATCTCTTGACATTGTTGAAAGAATTAACTGAGTTAGCATATGTAAATTACTCAGAACAATACATACAGAAAGGGAGTGCTATATTATATAGATCCATATGTCTGAAGGTGAGACAATGTCTTAAGTACTCAATGAAGAACAGAGAACTCAGTTCTTCAAGATCTTTTTTTTTTCATCATGATCAAGTAGGCTTCATCCCAGAGATACAATGATAGTTCAACAAATGCAAATCAATCACAAGATCAACAAACAGTTAAAAATCATATGATCAGTTCAATAGATGCTTGAAAAAGTGTTTGACAAGATACAATATCCATTTATGATAAAACAGGAACAAATGGAACTTATCTAAGATTAGGAACAAGTGAAGGATATCATCACTAAAAATCATTTTGGAAATCCTAACTGAAGCAATTAGGCAAGAAAAAGATATATATTAGGAATCCAAATTGGAAAACAGAAAGCTAAAATCACAATTTACTCATGACATCTCAATATTTAGAAACCCAAAGACTATTAAAAAAGACCAAAAACTGGGCTTTTCCTGGTGGTGCAGTGGTTGAGCACTGGGCTGCGAAGCTGCCCACAAACTCTGCAGCGCCGGTTCGATCCCCAGTCACTGGCAAGGGTACCGCATGGCACAACAGACCTCTCCTGCTGCACCACTGCTCCCCTCAGCAGTGAATTTCATCAGTGTGCCTGTTCTGTTCCCGCCCTGGCTCTGGTGAATCCTCTCACCCTCCTGCGCTTCTAACTGTACCCAGTGCTTGTATAAATAAATAAATCTTAAAAAAACTATAAATAAATAAATAGAGTAAAGTGGTAGAATGCAAAATCAATGCACAAAAATCTGCTGCATTTCTGTAAGCAAACAATATATTAGAAGAAAGGAAAAATAAGGAAAACAATCCCACTAACAATCATACCAAAAGGAATGAAATTCTTACAAAGGAGGATGAAAACTTAATAAAGGAGGTGAAGAATCTATATATTGAAAACTGTAAAACACTATAAAGGAAAATTAGAAGAAATAAATGGAAAGATAACCTGTCCTCACAGATTGCAAAAATATATATCTTTTTTGATTGCTGAGTAATATTCCTTTGTGTATATGTACCACATCTTCTTGATCCAGTCATCTATTTTTGGGCATTTGGGTTGTTTCCATAGCTTGGCTACTGCAAATAGTGCTGCTATAAACATAGGGGTGCATGTGCCCCTATTTGAATTAATGATTTTGTGTCCTTTGGGTAAATACCTAGGACTAGAATTGTTGGATCATATGGAAGCTCCATCTTTAGCAGGTTGAGGAATCTCCACACAGCTTTCCATAGTGGTTGGGCAATATGGATGGAGCTGGAAGGGATTATGTTCAGTGAAATAAGACAAAGAAAAAGAAAAATACTGGATGGTCTCACTCATAGCAGAAATTTAGAAAACCTAAATAAGAGACCAGGAAAGACAAATTATAGTAAAGTAAAAATCAAAAGCAACAAGCAACTATAAACCAGAGACATATTACGAGGTGGGGGGAGTAGGAGAGGATGGATTATGGTCAAAATAAGGGGGGTGGGAATTGTATAGAAATTATATAACCAGATGAAAATGCATACATTGTGCAAAAATGAAAAGATGATGTAAAAATATATAAATAAAATAAAATAAAAAATCATGAAAATAGCTATGCTACCTAAAGCAATTTATAGGTTCAGTGCAATACTTTTCAAAATCCCAATGACTTTTTTCAAAGAAAATGAACAAATAATTATAAAACTTATATGGAACCATAAAAGACCCCAATTAGACCAAACAATGGAGAAAAGAAATTCTTTTTAACAAATGATGTTAGAAAGGAACAGATAGTTTCATGCAAACAAATAAAACTAGATCCATACTTTACTTAACAAAATAAAAATTTATTCAACATGGATTAAGGAAGTGGATATAAAAACCAAAACCATAAAAGACTTGAAAGAGAGCCTCCCTGGTGATGCAGCAGTTGAGCACTGGGTTGCGAAGCTGCCCGCAGCCTCTGCGGCACAGGTTCAATCCCCGGCTGCTCCCCGGCCACCAGAGGAGGGCCCCACATGGCGCACAGACCTCTCCTGCCACCCGCTGCTCCCCTCAGCAGCATACTTCGGTCCTTCTGCCTGCTCTGCTCCCCGCTCTGGCTCTGGTGAATTCTCTCACCCTCCCGCGCTTCTGACTGTACCCAGTGCTTGTATAAATAAATAAATAAATCTTAAAAAAAAAAAAACACTAAAAAAAAAAAAAAGACTTGAAAGAAAACAGGACATACATAATAGGACATCTACCACAAATATGTATTTGGGGACTCAACTGCTATGGAAAGGGAAGCAAAAGCAAATATAAAAAAGTGGGACTACATCAAACTAAAAGTTTTTGTATCTCAGAAGAAACCATCACAAAAGCAAAAAGGATGAAAAAAAAAAGATGTCATACATCTTCTATGGGCTAATTTCCACACTTAAACAAAAAACAAAAAACAAAAACAAAAACAGACAACCCAATTAAAAAAATAGGCAAAGAATCTAAATAGATATTTTTCTAAATTAGACATTCAAATAACTTACTGGCAGGGGCCTCCCCGGTGGTGCAGCGGTTGAGCGCTGGGTTGCGAAGCTGCCTGCAGCCTCTGCAGCACCGGTTCAATCCCCGGCTGCTCCCCGGCCACTGGAGGAGGATCCCACATGGCGCACAGACCTCTCCTGCCGCCCGCTGCTCCCCTCAGCAGTGCAACTATAAATCAGAGACACACCCCGAGGGTTAGAGGAGAGGAAGGATTAGGGTCAAAATAAGGGGGGGGGTGCAATTGTATTGGGAATAAAACCAAAATGATAATGCATATATTGTGCAAAAATGAAAAATGATGTAAGAATTATATAAAATAAAATAGTAATTAAAAAAAGATAAACTAATGCCATTCACCGCAATGTGGACTGAACTAGAAGATATTTTACTAAGTGAAATAAGTCAGAAGGAAAAAGAAAAACATTGTATGATTTCACTTATAGGAGGAACACAGGGGAACCAAATAAAGGAAAACATAAGAATAAAAAAAATTAACAGGCAATTATGAATCAGATATTCTGTGGGAGTAGGAGAAGGAAAGGGATCAAAACCAGGGTGGGAAAGGCACAAGGGACTGTATGATGATGTATGGGTGAATTGGTTGTGGGAATTCTATGGGGCCTACAACTGAGAAAAGAAAGCAAACATTGTACAAAAATGATGCAAAATATATAGAAATGCAAAATATATAGAAACAGTGATGCAAAATATATAGAAATAAATAAATTATGAAAATATAAGTATACAAAAATATGTTTTATATCTATATGTAAACAGTCAATTAGATAACAGATTTTTTTTTTTACAAAATCCCACTTGTATTCACACCAAAAATGATGGGTCCTGAGAATTACCTTAATAAAGTTGGCGTAGGACCTCCATGCTGAGAACTATAAGACACTGTCAAAGGAAATAGAAGAAGATAAAAATAAATGGAATGATGCCCTATGTTCAAGGGTTTGAAGTATAAACATTATTAAAATGGGCATGTTACCAAAAATGGCTTGCAGATTCAATACAATTTATATCAAAATCACAATGGCATTCCTTAAGGAAAAAGATCAATGATATATATTTTATTTATTTATTTTAATTTTCATACCTCATTGTTCATTTTTGAACAATATTTACTTTTTTCCCATAAGATGTAATTCCCATAAATTTCCCACCACAACATTACCCATGAGTCATCACCTTAGACCCTTGTGCTCTTCCTTCCCCTGTTTGATTCCCTGTCTACCTTTCCCCTACTATATGTCTCAGTTCTATAAGTAGTTTAGTTTCATTCTTTTGCATGTGACATTTCAGCTTTCCCAGTAATATTTGTTAAAGAGACTATCCTTATTCCAGTGCATATTCTTTGCTCTTTTGTCATAGATTAGTTGACCATATGCATATGGCTTTATCTGAATATCAATTAGATTCTTTTGGTCTGTGTGTCTGTATGTGTTCCAGCACTATGCTGTTTTAATTATTATAAGGCTTTGTAGTATATATTGAAGTATGGGAGTGTAACACCTCCATTCTTCCTCTTTTTAGTAAGGACAGCTTTGGCTATTTGAGGTTTTGTATGATTCCATGTGAACTTCAACAATATTTGTTTCTTTGAAGATTACCTCTGATTTTCCTTTATTGGAATTGCATTGAATCTGTGAATTGCTTTTGGTAGGAAAACAATCCTACAAGTGAATGGTACCCAAAGGAAGGCAGAGATAGTCACACATATATCAGAAAAAAATAGATTTTCAGCTAAAACAGGTAATGAGAGACAGGGAAGAACACTATCTAATGATTAAGGGAATGATACTTCAGGAAGACATAACACTCATTAACATATATACAGCCATTAAAGGAGCACCAAAATACATTAGGCAACCAATATTAACTCTGAAAACAGCCATTGGAAAAAAAAAACATTTGTGTCAGGGGACCTCAACAACATGCTTTCACAATAGACAAATAACATGGACATAATAACCTTAAACAGATAATTAGCCCATATAAACCTCAAAGATTTTTACAGGGTACTGAGCTACAAAAATATAGAATACATATTTTTTTTTCAAGTGACCATAAACTATCCTTCAGAAGAGTGATATGCCACAATGCATATCACACAACAAATATCAGCACATACACAAATATTGAAATCATACTTAGCATGTTTTCTAAGGTATCAAATTAGATATCAACTATCAAAAGAAAGCAGGAGAATCAGCTAATACATAGTAACTGAATAGCACTATTAAAAGACTATTGCATAAGACAAGAGAAAGACATACAAGGAATCCAGATAGGAAAAGAAGAAGTCAAACTATCACTATTTGCAGATGATATGATAATATACATAGAGAACCCCAAAAACTCCACAGAAAAACTAATTCAACTCATCAATCAGTTCAGTAAAGTGGCAGGATACAAAATCAACATGCAAAAGTCAGTAGCCTTCCTAAACACAAACAATAAATCTGAAGAAGAAATCAAAAAACCATCGCTTTTATTACTGAAACCAAAAAAATCAAATACTTGGGAATAAATCTAACAAAAGAGGTAAAGGACCTATACAAAGAAAACTACAAAACACTGTTAAAAGAAATAGAAGCAGACTCAAAGAAATGGAAAGACATCCCCTGCTCATGGATTGGAAGAATAAACATTATTAAAATAGCCATCCTACCAAAAGCAATATACAGATTCAATGCTATTCCAATCAAAATTTCAATGCCATTCTTCAAAGAAATAGAACAATTATTGATGAAATTCATATGGAATCACCAAAAAACCTGTATAGTCAAAGCTCTCCTGAAAAAAAAGAAGGGAATGGAGGCATCACACTCCCAGACTTCAAACTATACTACAAAGCCATAATCATCAAAACTGCATGGTATTGGAACAAGAACAGACACACGGACCAATGGAATCAAATAGAAAATCCAGAAATAAACCCACAGATTTATGGTCAACTAATCTTTGACAAAGGAACAAAGAATATACAATGGAGCAAAGAAAGTTTATTCAATAAATGGTGCTGAGAAAACTGGGTGGCTACATGCAAAAGAATGAAACTCGACCACTACCTCACACCATGCACAAAAACCAACTCAAAATGGATTAAAGAACTAGACATAAGACCTGAAACCATAAAATACATAGAAGGAAATATAGGCGAAACACTACATGATATGCACATCAAAGACATCTTTACAGACACATCACCCAAAGCAGTGATGTGTGAAGGCAAAGATAAACAGCTGGGGCTACATCAAATTAAAGAGCTTCTGCACAGCAAAAGAGACAATAACAAAAACAAAGAGAAACCCCACCGACTGGGAGAACATTTTTGCACCCAACACTAATGATAAAGGACTGATCACAAAAATCTGCAAAGAGCTGATGAGACTCAACAACAAAGAAAATAATTCAGTCAAAAACTGGGCAGAAGAGCTAAAAAGAAACTTCTCTGAAGAGGAAATGCAAATGGCCAACAGGCATATGAAAAAATGTTCAACATCACCTGTAATCAGGGAAATGCAAATCAAAACTTCAATGAGATACCATCTTACACCAGTGAGAATGGCACATATTAAAAAAAAACTAGCAACAACATATATTGGCGAGGATGTGGAGAAAAAGGAACTCTCCTACACTGTTGGTGGGAGTGCAAACTGGTCCAACCACTATGGAGAGCTGTGTGGAGATTTCTGGACCTACTAAACATAGAGCTTCCATATGATCCAGCAATTCCACTCCTAGGGATTTACCCAAAGGACACAGAAACATCCATTCCAAAGAGCACCTGCACCCCTATGTTTATAGCAGCACTGTTTACAATAGCTAAGCTTTGGAAACAACCCAAATGCCCAAAAATAGATGAGTGGATCAAGAAGATGTGGTACATATACACCATGGAGTATTACTCAGCATTCAAAAAAGATAAACACATGCAATTTTCAGCAACATGGATGGCGCTGGAAGGGATCATGCTCAGGGAAATAAGTCAGAAAGAAAAAGAAAAATACCGGATGGTCTCACTCATAGCAGGAATCTAGAAAACTTAAATAAAGGACCAGGAAAATGAATAACTATAAGAAAGTTAAAATCAAAATCAACAAAAATCTCTGAACCAGAGACACTCTATTGGGGGTGGGGTGCGGGGAGGGGAGGAATTGGGATCAAAATAAGGGGGTTGCAATTATATGGGGAATATAAAAATAAAATTTATTTTAAAAAATGAAAAAAAGACTATTGCAATAATAAAGAAATCAAAGAATAAAACAGAAAATGCCTCTAGACAGGCAAATGAGGATACAACTTTCCAAAACTTAAGTGACGCACAAAAGGAGTATTAAGTAGGAAATATACAGCAATATGAGCACACATTAAGAAACCAGAAAGAGTCCAAATAAACAATTTTGCCTCTCATATCAAGGAACTAGAAAAAGAACCAAAAAAATGCAAAAGCTAGTAGAAGGAAGGAAATAAAAAAAAAAACAAACAGAGAATATAAAAATGAAATAGAAATAAAAAGAGAGTCTAGCATATCAATATGTTCTTTGGGGAAAAAAAAACAAAGAAGCAAATCTCACTCTGAAAAAATAAACAAAATAGACAAACCTCTAGCTAGGTTTACTAAGTGAAAAGGGGAGAAAATTCAAATAAATAGTATTAAAAATGAAAGAAAAGTTGTAAGGGACACTGCAGAAATTCAGAAAATGATAACAAATTACTATTTATACACTAACAAATTCAATAGCTAGATGGAAAAGGGAACAAATGAAAATCTTGGATAACAACAAAAAAAATCACTACCAAGGACATTGAAATACTAACCAAAATTCTCCCCCAAAATCAAAAATCCAAAAGTAGGGCCTCCCTGGTGGCGCAGAGAGTTGAACGCTGCACTGTGAAGTTGCAGCTTCTGCAGTGCAGGTTTGATTCCCAGCTGGCCAGGGAGAAACCCACATGGCGTGGCTGACCTCTCCTGCCTTGCCCACTGATCCCCTCAGCAGTGTCTTCGGTCTGTCTGCCTGTTCGCTCTCCGCTCCGTCTCTGGTGAATTCTCTCACCCTCCCACCCCTCTGACCTGTACCCCAGTTCTTGTATAAATAAATAAATATTTTTAAAAAATCCAAAAGTAGATTTCATTAATGAGTTTTACCAAAACTACTGAGACAAACTAATACCTATATGTCTAAATGCATAGAGAAAATGGAGAAAGATGGAATAATTCCAAACACATTTTATGAGGTCAACATTACCCTGCTTCCAAAAGCATCACAAAAAGAAAACTAAGGACCAATATTCCTGACAAATACAATTGCAAAGGCCTAGACAAAATCTGAACAAAGTGAATTCAGCAATGCATAAAATGGATCATATATCATAAGAGGGATTTATTCCAGGGTCACAAGTATATTTCACCATCCAAATTCCAATCAATGTAATTCACCACCAAAATAAGAGGAAAGACAAAAAGAGTGAGATCTTATCAATAAGTGAAGAGAAAATATTTGATAAGAATCACCATACATTTATGATTAAAAGACCTTAAAGGTGGGAATAGATGGAACACATCTTAACATAAAAAGGGCTGTATATGACGAATCCATAGCTAACATAATGCTCAATGGTGAAATAGTTGAAACTTTTCCAACAAGATCTAATACAAGACAAGGATGTCCAGGGCCTCCCTGGTGGCGCAGCGGTTCAGCGCTGGCTTGCGAAGCTGCCCGCAGCCAATGCAGCACTGGCTTGATCCCTGGCCACCAGATGAGGGTCCCACATGGCACGCAGACCTCTCCTGCCGCCCGCTGCTCCTCTCAGCAGTGTACTTCGTCAGGCTGCCTGCTCTGCTCTCCGCTCTGACTCTGGTGAATTCTCTCACCCTCCCGCACTTCTGACTGTACCAACCGCTTGTATAAATAAATAAATAAATAAATCTTTAAAAAATAAATAAATAAATAAATAAAAAACACACAGGGTGAGAAATGTAAGACTCAATCACTTTTGTTACCACAACCCAAGCACCTCATTGGTAGGATCCACCTCAGCAGTGGAAGCCAGCAGCAGCACCAGTGGTGTTCTCTTACCCTGCTGCTCCACCACAAGTCAGTTATGGCAGTTGCTCCTCAGAGCCCAGCAACTGCCTTTTTTTTTTTTTTTGTAAGGAACTCTTACTGTTTTTTTTTTTTATTTTATATAATTCTTACATCATTTTTCATTTTTGCACAATGCATACATTTTCATTTTGGTTATATTCCCCATACAATTGCACCCCCGCCCCTTATTTTAACCCTAGTCCATCCTCTTCCCCGTCAGTGTGTCTCTGATTTATAGTTGCTTGTTGATTTTGATTTTTAATTTGTATTAATTAGTCTTTTTCCTGGTCCCTCACTTAGGTTTTCTAAATTCCTGCTATGAGTGAGATCATCCGGTGTTTTTCTTTTTCTTTCTGACTTATTTCACTGAGCATGAGCCCTTCTAGCTCCATTCATGTTGCTACAAACTGCATGTGTTTATCTTTTTTGATTGCTGAGTAATATTCCATTGTGTATATATACCACATTTTCTTGATCCAGTCATCTATATTTGGGCATGTGGGTTGTTTCCATAGCTTAGCTATTGTAAATAGTGCTGCTATAAACATAGGGGTGCAGGTGCCCTTTGGAATTAATGTTTCTGTGTCATTTGGGTAAATAGCTAGGAGTGGAATTGCTGGATCATATGGAAGCTCCATCTTTAATAGGTTGAGGAATCTCTACACAACTCTCCATAGTGGTTGGACCAGTTTGCACTCCCACCACCAGTGAAGGAGAGTTCCTTTTTCTCCACAACCTCGCCAACATATGTTGTTGTTAGTTTTTTAATATGTGCCATTCTCACTGGTGTAAGATGGTATCTCATTGTAGTTTTGATTTGCATTTCCCTGATTACAAGTGATGGTGAACATTTTTCATATGCCTGTTGGCCATTTACATTTCCTCTTTTTAAAAAAAAAAGCCTGGGTTTTCTTTTTTTTTTAAGATTTATTTATTTATTTATATAAGTGCTGGGTACAGTCAGAAGCGCAGGAGGGTGAGAGAATTCACCAGAGCCAGAGCGGGGAACACAACAGGCAGACTGATGAAATACACTGCTGAGGGGAGCAGCGGGTGCATCAGGAGAGGTCTGCTGGTGGCCGGGGATCGAATTAGTGCTGCAGAGGCTGCAGGCAGCTTCCCAGCCCAGTGCTCAACTGCTGCGCCACCAGGGGAGGCCCTGCGTTTCCTCTTTGGAGAAGTTTCTTTTTAGCTCTTCTGCCCAGTTTTTGACTGGATTATTTTCTTTGTTTTTGTTGAGTCTCTTCAGCTCTTTGTAGATTTTTGTGATCAGTCCTTTATCATTAGTGTTGTGTGCAAAAATGTTCTCCCAGTTGGTGGGGCTTCTCTTTGTTTTTGTTATTGTCTCCTATGCTGTGCAGAAGCTCTTTAATTTGATGTAGTCCCAGCTGTTTATCTTTGCCTTCATTATCACTGTTTTGGGTGAATTGTTATAAAGATGTTTTTGAGGTGTATGTCATGTAGTGTTTCGCCTATATTTTCTTCTATGTATTTTATGGTTTCAGGTCTTAGGTCTAGTTCTTTAATCCATTTTGAGTTGGTTTTTGTGCATGGTGTGAGGTTGTAGTCAAGCTTCATTCTTTTGCATGTAGCCACCCACTTTTCCCAGCAGCATTTATTGAACAAACTTTCTTTGCTCCAGTGTAAATTCTTTGCTCCTTTGTCAAAGATTAGTTGACCATAAATCTGTGGGTTTATTTCTGGATTTTCTATTTGGTTCCATTGGGCTGTGTGTCTGTTCTGTTCCAATACCATGCAGTTTTGATGATTATGGCTTTGTAGTATAGTTTGAAGTCTGGCAGTGTGATGCCTCCATTCCCTTCTCTTTTTTTCAGGAGAGCTTTGGCTATTTGGGGTTTTTGGTGATTCTGTTATAGGGCAGCCCCGATATTGAACGGGTTGCCTCGCTGTGGGTCCTCACCTGTGTGCTTAAAAGGGACTTATTAATACTCCACTACAGGCATACACAAAAGGTTAATAAAAGGTTTATTTATAAGGGAAAAGGAAATAAGGAAAATATACAACTCAGGGAGAAAATAGGGAAATAAAGTTTTTAATGCGTCCTACCCGATCCGCCACCTTGGAAACCCAAAAAGCACTCTCAGAGCTGGCTGGACCCTGCGAGCTGGTGGAGAGCCAAAATGGGGGAACCCCTCCAAAGCCCACGTGTCTGGCTTTATACCAACCTGGCTGCTTAACCCCACCCTCAGGTCCCAGCCACCTTCCCTTTGGTGGTGATGGGATTTGGAGTTCCCAGTGTCTTTGGCTTTGGCCTAGGGTGGGGGTGGAGTCCACAAAGCCTATATAGAATTAGCTTTAGGATACCCTTTTCCCCCTAACAAATCCATATGCATTTCATCAATAATTGTTCTATTTCTTTGAAGAATGGCATTGAAATTTTTATTGGAATAGCATTGAATCTGTAAATTGCTTTTGGTAGGATGGCCATTTTGATAATGTTAATTCTTCCAATCCATGAGCAGGGGATGTCTTTCCATTTCTTTGTGTCTGCTTCTATTTCTTTTAACAGTGTTTTATAGTTTTCTTTGTATGGTCCTTTACCTCTGTTGTTAGGTTTATTCCCAAGTATTTGATTTTTTTGTTTCAGTAATAAAAGGGATGTTTTTTTTAATTTCTTTTTCCTCAGAATTATTGTGTATAGGAAGGCTACTGATTTTTGCGTGTTGATTTTGTATCCTGCCACTTTACTAAACAGATTGATCAGTTGAATTTGTTTTTCTGTGGAGTTTTTGGGGTTCTCTATGTATATTATCATATCATCTGCAAATAGTGATAGTTTAACTTCTTCCTTCCCTATTTGGATTCCTTGTATGTCTTTCTTTTTTCTTATTGCTCTGGCTAGGACTTCCAGTATCGTATTGAAAAGCAGTGGTGAGAGTGGACATCCTTGTCTTGTTCCAGATCTTAATGGAAATGCTTTCAGCTTTTCGCCATTGAGAATGATACTGGCTATGGGCTTGTCATATATGGCCTTTACGATGTTGAGGTATGTTCCTTGTATCCTGAGAATTTCAAGGGCCTTAATCATAAATGGGTGTTGTACTTTGTTGAAAGCTTTCTCAGCAGCTATTCATATTATTGAAAGGTTCAGTGCGGTAAAGAATAGCCAGGCCAAGCTTCCTCGGGGGAAGGGAAAGTTTATTGCTCCCAGGCTGACCTCATGGACCCAAGGCGGGGGTCAGTGGAGTCGCGCACATTGTTAGGGGGAAGCAGGGCTTGATAGGGTAAGGAGAGGTCAGGTGGAAAGTTGGGTTCATAAGGCGGGAAACGTTTGTAGGGCGTGAAAAGGTTCGTGGGACAGGTTGAGGTTCTTTGTCTGAGAAAAGACTCCTAGGGGGAGGGGTAAGGCTCATTGTCTGAATAGTCCAGGCAGTTATCCCCATTCCTGCCCCCCAGGTGGGCTTCCTGGTAGGCTTTTGCATTCTGGCCTCCTGCATGGACCTTTCAATTATCATATGGTTTTTATATTTCTTTTTGTTGATATGTTACTGCAGAATGTTTTCTCTAGACTCCTATGCTTTCTGACAATTTATGGCTGTCACCCTTTCAAGGGTCTAGGTGAAATGCTGCTGAATGGTAGGTCAAAAAGGGCTTGTTTTCCCTAAAGTTCATGATTTTTGCCACATCTGGAGCTGGCACATACTGACTGATGATAGCCAATTGTTAAAGTTTCAATAATTTCACAAGTTGGTTGTGAAGCTACTGGTAACTTACAATTGGCCATGGTGGAAGTATTTTAGAGTATGAGAAAAGGTGACTACTACTAATAAGGGTTTTGATTGCCCATTTGGTTTTGGATTGTTTGGGGACTGGGAGAGCTAATTTACCAGCATATCATTGTCTCTGTCTGTATCTTAAAGGAGTTTTATCATCTCTTCTGTGAACACTGCCTTTCTAAAACTAACTTTGAAAGATATACTTTCCAGACACTAGGAGAGATCTCTGGTGCCATCTAGTGACCAGAATAGAAATCACCAATAACCCCTAGAGAAGGGACCTTTCTTCAGTAAAGACTGCTTGAAACCTGCAGAAGGCTCCTGGAGGAGCCAGAGTTGAGCTGGGAAGTTCGCCCGCACCAGGCCCCTTCTGGCCAGCAGTCCAAGCTCAGAAGGGGAGCGGGCACCCAAGGCCGGGGCAGACCAGGAGCGCAGGGGAGTGCAGACCGCATCGCCTTTTTAGAACAGGGACCTTTCTTCAATAAAGACTGCTTGAAACCAGCAGAAGGCTCCCGGAGGAGCCAGAGGTGAGCTGGGAAGTTCGCCCACGCCAGGCCCCTTCTGGCCAGCAGCCCGAACCCAGAGGGGGAGTGGGCACCCAGGGCCAAGGCAGACAAGGCGCTCTGAAGAGTATGCCTGTATCCGAATCGCCATTTTAGAATAGGGACCTTTCTTCAGTAAAGACTGCTTGAAACTGGCAGAAGGCTCCTGGAAGAGTCAGAGGTGAGTTGGGAAGTTTGCCCAAGTCAGGCCCCTTCTGGCCAGCAGTCCGAGCCCAGAGAGGAGCCAACACCCACTACCGGGGAAGACTGGGCATGCAGGAGAGTGCGTCTCCGCATAGCCACTTTGGAACAGGGATCTTTCTTCAATAAAGACTGCTTAAAACTGGCAGAAGGCTCCCTGTGGAACCAGAGGGAAAGGTTCCCTGTGAGGTCAGAGGTGAGTTGAAAGACCCCACAAGCCTGGTCCTGCCTGGCAGGAAGTTGGAAACCAGAGAGGGTTCCAGTGATTTGGAACCCAGAGTGCAAACCAGCTGCCCCACCTCTAGGGAAGTATGTGGGACTTCAAGACACACCTTTGTAATTAAACACAGAAGGAGGAAATATTCTGGGACAGCGACAATTAATATACTCAAAGTACCACTGCCTCATTAGACTTCTTGCATAACAGTATTTGACTTGTTAGATAGCCAGTTCCTGAACCCCACAAAGAGCACACCAAAAAGATGCCAGCCCGTACCAGCATCACACTGTCCCAAGGCA